AAAAGGGAGGCACGCTATCCCCTTGGGGTACAGAACCACTTAGAAAGAATCAAAGCTGGAGGGAGGGTTTGCCAGGAATGCAACCAACGGATGGTGGTGTCCTGGGCCACTCCAGTAACAAGCAGGACGAAGACAACCCAGTATCTGAGACACCTTTAGGAAATAAAATCCATGTGACTATGATGAGCTGGGTAGAAATACAGGGGTGTTACATTTCAGTTACTGGGTTTTTAGCTTGGGTAATTTTGTGGTTAGTAGTACTACTGACTGGCAAATTTCTAATAATAATTGAAGACGGATCGTGGATAAATGGGGATTCACTATCGCATCCAACTCCGTTTGTGCACACTTAAATTTTTCTCCTTTTCAAATTGACCTCATCTATCAAATGCAGGCCTGGTGATCTACCCCCTGAAATTCGTCAATGAAAATTCGATAGAGCACAACAGAACACGGTGCAGCATGTTTGATGTGAAGCCCTCATCAGGAGGGATCAGTCGCTGCAGGAGAGGCACTGTGCTGGTGAGCTGGAGGCCTATGCAGGGCAGAGGCGACCGTGGGATGGAGCGGCTCAGCGGCGACAATCTGCTGGCACGTGCTGGTCCTGTGAGGATGATACCGATGGGGCGGTGTTTTGTTCTCGTACATAAGGCCCACGAGTCACAGTCAACCTGACAACTATTTCTAAATTTGGGTAGTGAGCACATTGTGTTGATCATATTCTCCTCTGTATTTTTTTCTGCACGTTTCAAAGCATTCATAACATAAGAAGTGCTCATGTTCAAAAGACTTAAAAAGAGAGGGGCATCAGATTTTAGAACAGTCGTAAAAAGCGGTTGCATTTGGGGGCCATGGTAGGATGGGCAATGAAGCTGGCCAGGTCTGATAAAAGGAAAAATGAAGGATCAATGATCCTAAGTCTTTCTCGAGATTAAAGACCTGGTATTTAGGGAGTGGTTGAGTCTATCAACAGGAGGAAGATGAGCTCTTCCACAGTCTAGGAAGCCCACAGGGGGAGTTCTCCTTTGCCCGACTGGGTTGCTGTGAGTCAGAACTGACTCCCCGGCAGTGAATTTTGAGCACATTAATAAAACCCAACACTATCACGTTAGGGAAAAGACTCGTGACTCAGAATTGTGCTGCGGCTCGTACAATCCTTTTTCTATTTTTGCTTTGGCTCAAGCATGCCATCAAACTCCGTCACTCCTTTTAGTCACAGCAACATCGAAGCCTTCAATGAGAAGGCATTGTGGGTACGTAGGGGCAGTGAGAGACACAAGGAAGTGCCCGCACAGACGGCCTTCTGGGGACTTGTGGTTTAGGATGCATCACATGACCTTGTCGTTGCTTACATCGTATGTGGAGAAAACCCCACAGATCTAAAATCATTCATGTAATTTGGGTCTTCAAAAACAATCTCCTAACATTTATGGTTAAAGGAATGCTTTTTTTTAAAGTATGTTGTCAAAAGGAGCTTGTCAGTTGCTATTTAGAGAAAGGCCCTCACCGCCATCTAGTGGATTGTGATTCAAAAGTAGACCTGCCCTGTGGGTTTCCAAGGCTGTCAATGTTTACTGGATTGGCAGCAAGGCTGCTGGTTTCAAACTGCTGGCCTTGCAATTAGCAGCTCAACTGGCACTAGCACTAGCCACAGGGGCTCCTGTTAAGAGAAAAGATCCAGAATGATTGTAGGTGTTGCCTTTGTTTAGGAAAACAAGCATCTGTTGCTAGAGGCCATAGGTAATAGTCTTCCTATTACAGAGTGACAGATTTTTTTCTCATTATGTGCCAGTCATGTATGAATATTTGTGCTCCATCTCCAACAGGATTTCAGAAAGCAACCCCTTTCAAGTTGAGTAAGCTCAATTCCCAACACCCTCACAAATGATCTTCTTCCATGAATGTCGGTTACCAAGTGTATTTTCTGACACACAAAATTAACCCAGACAACTTTACTAGTAAATATTTTGTTTCTTCTAAAATAAAATTAATGTATAAAAGGGGAAGGAGGGGAAGCCCAAATTCACAACTGGCAGTGATCCTAAGTTCTAGAAAAGATGAGAACTATTTCTCTTTCCCTCTGTGTCCCCGCCCTCCTTCCCTCCCCCAGTCTCGCTGCTTCCGGGAAGATTTAATGGGGACTCTATGAGTCAGAGCTGACGTGAGACCGCAAGTACAGGGTTTCCAAGACTGTCCATCTTTATAGAGGCTGACTGTCACAACTTTCTCTCTTGAAGTAGTCAGTGTCTTTGAGCGCTGGCAATTAGTCTTGCACTTGACCCACGGTACCACCGGCACACCAAACTGTGTCTACATTTTTTTTTTCATTTCTGATTTTTTAAAATCATTTATTAGGGGCTTATACAACTCTTAATCACAATCCGTACATACATCAATTGTGTAAAGCACATTTGTACATTCATTGCCCTCACCATTCTCAAAACATTTCCTCTCCACTTAAGCCCCTGGCATCAGGTTCTCATTTTTTCCCCTCCCTCCCCGCTCCCCACTCCCTCATGAGCTCTTGATAATTTAGAAATTGTTATTTTGTCATATCTTGCCCTGTCGGATGTCTCCCTTCACCCACTTTTCTGTTGTCCGTCCCCCAGGGAGGAGGTCACATATAGATCCTTGTAATCGGTTCCCCCTTTCCAACTCACCCTCCCTCCACCCTCCCGGTATCACCACTCTCACCACTGGTCCTAAAGGGATCATCCGCCCTGGATTCCCTGTGTTCCCAGTTCCTATCTGTACATCCTCTGGTCTAGCCAGACTTGCAAAGTAGAATTGGGATCATGATAGTGGGGGTGGGGTGGGCAGGTAGTGTCTACATTTTGATAAACAAACACACACAAAAATGAGAGCGTCAACCAATTGCTTAACTGACAAAGTCGTCCCACCAATTTAAGGGACAGTCTTCATGCCAAGACTTGAGCTCCTCCCTGTCCTATCTGACCATGTGTCCCCAGAATGCAGATCAGTTCTGTAATCCTCAGGCTTTGGCTACCCAATGGCTCTGGCTTGGAATCTTGAAGGGGACACTTCCAAAAAGCTTGTGGCAAAATCCCAGGTCCTCTTACTTTCATTTTCCATGAGCTTCTGGAAGTCCCCTGTTCTGTCTGAGCTCTGGTTCTTCTCACAGTTTCCTTCGCTTATTTCAGAAAAGTGGTCATCTCATTGTCCGTCTGTCTTGCCTAAGGCAGGGTGGCGTGTCGTCTTGGAATTCTGATTTCTCTTTGGAGGACCCAACAAGCCAGCCACACACTTTTCCCAGGACAGCTGTGGCGGAGCCCACGTGAAAATGTTCACTACTGATCAGTAAACCTCACAGGAGTTTTGTACGGGGTTTTGTGCTTCCTCCCACAAGGCCCCAAGGTTGACTAATTACAGAACTTCCCTTGTAAACATATGTATTTCTGATTTTAGAAAACAAAAATTATACACATACACTTGAAAAAAAAAAAAAAGAACTTCCCTTGTGGTTTCTGAACCAATCTTTCTCCCTCCGTGCAGATTCCAACTGCCCCTGTGTACCTTGCTTTCATCAGCCGGTGTGTAGGATCTGACTTTCCTGATAATACACCCTGTTTAGGACCAGCTCTCCAGTCCCTTAGGCATGACGCCAGTCTCTCCAGCAGGCTGCGCTTACCTTGGGAGTTCAAGGCGACGAGGGAGGGTCGGAGTGTTGGAAAGAAAAAGATTGCCTTTGGCCTTGGCTCCTTCGGGGCTCTGCACTCTGCTTGACCCCAGGCTCCGATAATGGTCAGAGGGAAGGAATGAATATTCCAGAAAGCTGAGCCAAGCGGAAGTAAAACTAGAATTTTCCCGCCCTTTTTTGGCTATTTGATTGGTTGTTTTGATTTTTCAGGAAATAGAACTACAATTCTTCTGCCTTCTACAAAAAAAAAAAGGACTGCTGACTGCTTCTTGTTATTATGAATTCCTCATAAGTAGTCGGGTCGCTAAGTAAGTTTGGCTAGTGTCCCAAAGAGAAACCACACGTGTATGATGAGAAACGAGTTCACCTTTTCACGAACCGATCAAGTTCCGCTTTGATTTTTCTTGGTGGCGGCGGCGCCATGAGTTTTGATTGATGAAAGGAAGTATGCTGAATCATGGCGTGTGTTTGAGTTGTCTTATTTTAAAAGTTATTTCTAACGCCATCCCCCACTACCACAAATTATACAGTGGAGTTTCCCACATGTGGGGAAGTCGCAGGGGTCAGCCCATCCTGAGCGCCGTGGACAAGCCTCGCCCTGGGAAAACCACCTTCCTGGTCAGGGTCTCCTCGCTGCCAGGTAAGTGTGTGTGTCTGCCTTTTTGATAGGCAGCATGGTTGTTTTCTTCTGCCTTTCCCCACAGCCCCCCCTTAGAGTTCCCAGGGACACATTCTACCTCCCTGCTCCCAGCCCCTTCACTCCCTCCCGGACAGTCAGGGACAGATGTGTCTGAAATAAAAATGACTAAAATCTCTAGTTTTCCTACCAACTATGCAGGTGGCTCATATAATATCCGTAAAAACAAACAGCATTTTGCAGTATATGCCCATTTCTTTGTTTCAAATTATTAGGCAGCCTCCCCCCAACCCCTTATAAGGGGGGTGAGGGTGGAGCACATACTGTCCATGGGAAGGCAGCTGCCCAAGAAACATGAGAGGTACAAAATATTGGTGAGCAACTGTCCGTCTCAATGGTCGTGACATGCTATGGGAAAAATCTGTTTCGATATGCACCCAACTGTTGGAGATAAAGAAGAAAGGTGGAGCCTTTGCTATTCTGGACAATAAGCCTAAATTCTTCGAGAACCATTTAAGCCAGTGTGTTAGACCGGGCTGTCTAGAGAAATAAACCCTGGGACACGCTTTTTAAAAAAATCATTTTATTAGGGTCTCATACAACTCTTATCACAATCCATACACACATCAATTGTGTAAAGCGCATTTGTACATCGTTTCTCAAAACATTTTCTCTCCACTTAAACCCCCGACATCAGGTCCTCATTTTCCCCTCCCTCCCTGCTTCCCCCCTCCCTCACGAGCCCTTGATAGTTTATAAATTGTTATTTTGTCATATCTTTCCCTGTCCTACGTCTCCCTTCACCCACTTTTCGATTGTCCGTCCCCCAGGGAGGAGGTCACATATAGTTCCTTGTAATCGGTTCCCTCTTTCCTACCCACTCTCCCTCTACCCTCCCTGTTTCGCCACTCACACCACTGGTCCTATAGGGCTCATCCACCCTGGATTCCCTGGATTTTCAGTTCCTATCTGTACCAGTGTACATCCTCTGGTCTAGCCAGGCTTGCAAGGTCGAATTCTAGTCATGGTAGTGGGAGCGGGGAGGAAACATTTAGGAACTAGAGGAAAGTTGTATTTCTCATTGTTGTTACATCGCACCCTGACTGGCTCATCTCCTCCCCGAGACCCCTCTGCAAGGGGATCTCCAGTGGCCTACTAATGGGCTTTGGATCTCCACTCCGCACTCCCCCCATCATTCACTATGGTAAGATTTTTTGTTCTGATGATGCCTTATACCTGATTGCTTCGACACCTCGTGGTTGCATAGGCTGGTGTGCTTTTTCCATGTGGGCTTTGTTGCTTCTGAGCTTGATGGCCGCTTGATTACCTTCAGGCCTTTAAGACCCCAGACGCTATACTTTTTGATAGCCGGGCACCATCAGCTTTCTTTGCCACAGTTGCTTATGCACCCATTTGTCTTCAGTGATCCGTTCGACACCTCGTGATCACACAGGTTGATATGTTGTTCCATGTGGGGCTTTGTTGCTTCTGAGCTAGATGGCTGCTTGTTTACCTTCAAGCCTTTAAGACCCCAGACGCTGTATCTTTTTGATAGCCGGGCACCATCAGCTTTCTTCGCCACATTTGCGTATGCACCCATTTGTCTTCAGTGATGGGACACGCTTCTGTGTCTAAGGAAGAACTTTATCTCAAAATGTCATTTTATAGCCAGAAGGTATCCCAGTCCAATTCAAGGTCATGCTAGTGGAGCGTTCTTCAGACTCCCATAGCTGCAGGCCTATGACACAGAAAGGTGAAGCAGGAGGCACGGAGATCACAGGCCATCACAGGCCGGTGGAGCAGAGTCACAGGGATCCAAGGTCCATGGGAAGAGAGCAGGGTGGCAGGTCCCAGGGGACCCCACCTAGAGGCGGACACAGAATCCCAGCAAGGAAGAAGGTGAAGGGACAGAGAGAGAATCCCTCACTGTCTCTCATAAAAAAGGTCACACCTAATAATAATTTATAAATTATCGAGGGTTCATGAGGGAGGGCGGAGCGGGAAGGGAGGGGAAAAATGAGGAGCTGATACCAAGGGCTCAAGTAGAAAGCAAATGTTTTGAGAATGATGAGGGCAACAAATGTACAACAAACGTGCCTGACATAATGGATGGATGGATGGATTGTGGTAAAAGTTGTATGAGCCCCCAATAAAATGATTTAAAAAAAAAAAGAAAGAAAATGTGTAATGCAAAAAAAAGGTCACATCGCTAAGGAGGCTTCATCAGGCCTGATTGATAGGTTGCACGCCACCCCTACACTTCACACAGCTTCAGGTTGCCATGAAATCAAACTGCCGTAGTCATTAAGGAAAAGAGACAATCATGCTAGAGACAGGTAGGAAAGGAAGCACCGCTTATCATTAGCCTCCCTTAATCGTCCTACCAGCTCTGCAGTCCTGGCGGGTGCATTCAAGGCCTGCTGGGTTTCTTCTTGCTGTCTGGGCCGCTACCATGCTCCTATGGCTCTGATTGACTTTCTGCTCCTTACCATCTTTTGTCGGGGACCATGAGCCCCCACGGCCAAGATCTCATCAACAGGCTTCACTCAGCCTCAGGCCTCAGGCCGGGGTGGAGACTTTCCCTTTCCTTTTGCTGCCTCACAGAAAAGTCCAAATGGCCTTCGCCTTTTCCCTTATTTGTATTGGCTAACAAGCACCCTGTTAGCACATGTGCTGTTTCACCTAATTAGCATAGGTGATGTCATTCCCGCGGACCTGATTGGAAACTGCTGACCGCTGGCGCTAGGCGCGCTTTTGTAGCTTTCTGATTGGGCATTATCTTTAGTAGCCTGATTTGCATGTCCCGCGGACACTTCCTTCCTTTTTGCCTTTATAGGCTGCGGCTTGTTGAATAAACAGAACCGCTCAGCCTCCTGTCTCGCATCCCGCTCCCTCTATCCAGGATCCACGTTTCTGTTCCCGCTGGACGGGGCAATCTTTGACCTGCTGCTTCCTTCCACAGTCCCCAGAACTCACTTTTGGTCTTCTCTCAACTTCCTGTTTGGCCTCTTTGGGGCGTCTGTCCGCATGGATTGCAAGAATCATCACAGTATGGTCCAGCAATCAGTTTAGCGATGAGAAAGGTGCTTTGCATTAGAAAGAACGGAATTTGAGATGCAGTAACCAGATAACTAGTTCACAATTCTGGCTATGTGTTGGAATCATCTTCTGGTACACTTGTTAAAATGCAGACTCTAGGCCCCCAGACATTCTGAACCAGACTCTCAAGACTATATATATACAAGTATATATACGCATCTCCACACCCCTTTTATAACCACTCAGACCAGGTCTGACATCTGATGGGTAAAGAAACTGGAGTGTTTTTAAAGCTGTGATTCTTCTTTCTTTCTCTTTATTATTTTAAAAAAATCATTTATAGTTTCCTTATATTCATAGCTTATAACACAAAGAAAAGCATGCTATCTGTAGTCGCACAGCATCAGAACAGTGACAATATCCCAGCAACCGCCTCCTCCCCTGTATGTGAATCTTTCTTTTTTAAAAAAGATCATTTTATTGATGTACAATTGCATATCATACACTTCAGTAGTCTGGTTATATCAAAAGAGCTGTCCAATCATCATTACAATCAGTTCCAGAGCAACTTCTTCCTTCTTGTGCTCATTGCTACTAGCTCCCCCTTCTCCTCCCTCCTCCCCTCCCAGTCCCCCAATAAGACATTAAGCCAGTTACTGATAGATTTACCTATCCTGGATTTCACATACTGGAAAACATATCAACCCCAACACCCCCCACCGCCAAAAAAAAACACAACAACACCCAGAACCTTAACAACAATAACAAAATAAATCGCAGGAAAACCTCAATAGAAAAGAAAGCAGGAAATATTAAAAGCCAGAACAAGTTAAAATGGGTCGAAAGGGAGGTCAAATGATAAGAGGCAGACACAACCCTCACCACAGGCTTCTAAGAACCTTCCATCTGCGTTCTGTTACTCCTGGGCTGCGTACTCTCAAACGCTGTCGGCAGCTCTCCATGGTGCATGGCATTTGGTCAAAGAACTTTTACACTTTTGATTTGCTGCACGCACCCTTCCTCTCTGTGGGCGTGAGTTGAGGTGGGCTAGGCTGAGAGACTCTGCCACATGGGGATCCCCCCCGCCTGGCCGTGACCCAGAAAATATCTCCATACTGTCTGAGACAGGCAAAGAGGCAAAAGGTCCCAAAGCAATCACCAAGGAAACCCGGTGGAACGTCCCTGCTGATGACAGCTCTGCTGACATGCATCTGATGCTGAGCTTTGGTGAAGAATATGGATGAGCTCTTTCATGCCCTATGTTAAAAAAATGTTATATATAGAACCTGCAATGAAAGCTGTATTTGTAAAGTTTCTCAGTGTAGAAAAGACTCTTAATAAACATTTCCTGTTTCCTGCATTGTGATAAGATTAACACTATTGGTTAATAACGAAAGTATTCTGATGTACCCAGCTCTAATCTCAACGTGAAATCAAATACACTTTTGTCAATAAGGGGATCTGTGCCTTTACCCTTGGTCTCCAGGAGGTAGACCAGCAGGAAGGTGACAGTGGACTTGGGAGTGGGACAGACATGGGCTGGTATCTGAATGCAGAGCACATTAGTTCTATGATCTTAGGCACTAGAGCTACCCTTTGAGCCTCAGCTTCCTTCGCTGTACATTAGAGATCATACGTGCGACATGCCATGCTTTTTCGACATGGATTGCTTATTTTAATCTGAATCTAAGGATGTCACTGTGAAGTTCATCTTTTTGTCACAGATGAGAAAACTGAGTTTGGCAGGGGGAGGTAACTTGCCTGAGGTCATCTAACCAATGAAGAGCTGAGTTGGAATTTGAACCCAGGGCCCGTCTGACTCCAGGGATGCTCTAACCACCACGTTCTCCTACCTTACGTGGAGTTTCTGCGCCTCATTCAAAGGGTAGATGAGATCACATTGTTAAAATATTTCTCGCAGTATCTGACACATAGGAAGCCCTTATTAACTGCTAGCTATATTATATGAGGG